TAGATCGATAAAATACGAACCAAATCTTGGTTCGCTTGGTTTGCACATTGTAACGCCCTCTCGAATTTACAATTGAGATATTTTGTTATTTTCTATCATATTGTTATTTGACTCTTGTGGTATTGTGTATATGTTACTTGTTATGACATCATTGCATGTGTTATCTTGAAAAGTAATTTATACATAAATTGGTTTAAGCTTGCATTTGTGTGTGGGTAAATTGAGTAAGTAAAATTTTTTCGAAAAACGTTATTTGTCTACGAGGCCTCTCGAGTTGAATTGGCACAGTTCAATGGTAAGAGAGATTATTCCATTTGGAAGCAAAAAATGAAAGCTATATTAATCCAACAAAAGGTTTCTAAAGCTCTTGACGACCCGGAAAAATATTCTGATGCATTAAAAGCTAAATCGGATGAAATTACTGAGATGAATGAAATTACATACAGTTTGATTATATTGCACTTATCTGATGATGAGTTAGGACAAGTTGAACAATATAAGAATGCCAAAGAATTGTGGGAAGCACTTGACAAGCTATTTTTGGAAAAATCTCTTCCAAACAAAATACATTTGCTTCAAAAACTTTTCTGTTTTAAACTTGACCCAGGAAAGGATCTTGAATCCAATTTGGTTGATTTTAACAGACTCGTCAAGTGTTTGGCCCACAATGATAAAAAATTTGATGATGAATATCTAGCGGTTATACTTCTAAATGCTACGCCCGAATCCTATAGAGATGTTAGGAATGCTATCACATATGCTAGAGATACTTTGACCCAAGATATTGTGACTGATGCTTTGAGGGCTAGGGAACTAAAGCTTAAGAAAGAATCGAGGGGTAGCTAGAGAGAAGAGAGTTTGTTTGTTAGAGGAAGGAATGATATGATGGAGAACTACTTTCAAAGTAAGAAGGGTAGAGGGGAGTCGAAAGATAGGTCCAAGTCTATAGATAAGGGTGGTAAGAAATGCTTTCATTGTGGTAAGTTAGGGCATTTCATGACCTTAAGAAGAAACATAGACCATAGCAGAGTGATGATCAGAACTTAGTTGCTGTAAGTAATTTGCTTGATTGTCTACATGTTATGACCATGTCAGGAGAATTTGACACTAATGTAGATCATATCCGTGATAACATACATGTCATGAATATTTTTAATATTGATTTTGACAATGAGTGGATTTTAGACTCAGGTGCTACTGTTCATATGTGTCCTGTTATGTCTTAGTTCTATAACTACAAAGATGTGAATCCCATAAAATATACTTGGAGGATGATCACACACAATGTGGAGGGAGTAAGTGATATTGCTATTAGGATGCATGATGGCATTATTAGACCCCTTAGAGGTGTTAGGTATGTCTCGGGCCTTGTAAGGAATCTCATTTCCTTAGGCACTCTAGAAGAAGAAGGTTATGAGCTCAGATCTCATGTTGGTACTTTAAAGATTTGTAAAGGGTCTCTAGTGGTTATGAAAGGTATTAAGAGGAATGGGCTATATGTCTTTCAAGGTGAAGCCTAAGGCAGCAAAGAGTCAGTATTATCTTCTGTTTGTGAAAATAAATCAGATCTTTGGCACAAGAGGATGTGACACATTGGGAACAAGGGGTTGAAATATCTTAGTGACAAAAATTTACTTGGTAAGGATAGTATTATACCTTTAAGTTTTTGCAAGACATGTGTTCTAGGAAAGTTACATAGGGTTGGATTTGGGATATGTGATCACAACACTAAGAGACTATTGGACTACATTCATGCAGATTTGTGGGGTCTAGAAAAACATCTGACACATGGAGGGAACGGATTTTTTCTATCCATTGTTGATGACTACTCGAGGAAAGGTTTGGATGTATCTCCTTAAATCTAAATCTAAAACTTTTAATAGGTTTAAGTCCTGGCTTGCCTTAGTTAAAAATCAAATCTGGAAAAGGTATAAAAACTCTTAGGATGGACAATGGTTTAGAGTTTTGCAACTTTGAATTTGATAATCTCTGCAAGGGAAATTGTATAATGAACACAGGACTGTTAGACATACCTCCAACAAAATGGGGTGGCAGAGAGGATGAATCGGACTTTAATAGATAAAGTTAGCTGTATGATGATTAGTTTAGGGTTGTCTAAAAGTTTCTGGGGTAAAGCCGTGTGTACTGATGCCTATTTGATAATAGGTCACCTTCGAGTTCCGTTAACTTCAAGACTCCCCAAGAGTTGTTGTATGGAAAAACTCCAGATTTGTCACACACTAGAGTGTTTGGTTGTGCGGCTTATGCACATTAGGTTGGGGACAATTTGTACCCTAGGGCTACTAAGTGTAGGTTATCCAGAAGGAGTGCAAAGATATAGATTGTGGGTTTTAGGTATGAAGGGCATTAAAATTATTAGCAATAAAGATGTAAAGTCAATGAACTTGATATGTATTGTCTTAGAAACATAGATAGTCAGAACAAACAAACTGAGAAAGGAGAATCTTCTATTGGAAAGAAGATGGAGTTTGAGGTGAAGAGATTAGATGATCATCCAAAGGATAGTGAAATCCAACCTCAAGAAGAATTTGATTAACAAGCAATGATAGAACAACCAGACTTGAAATTCCTGAAACTATTGTCCCTAATCAAAAAAATCTACAGGTACTAATTTGGATTACTACCAATTAGTGAAGGATAGGGAGAAAAGACAAGTGAAGCCCAATATGAAATACATCTCTTCAAATTTGATGGAATTTGTCCTAGTTTCAGGTGAAGCCTTGGAACCAGTTGAATCGGCTTCCTTTGAGGAAGCGGTTACCTGTAAAAATTCTGAAAATTGGAAAAAGGCTATGAGAGAGGAGATTCAATCTTTAAACAAAAATGAAACTTGAAAGTTGGTTGAAAAACAAAAGAATCAAAAGGTAATTCATTGTAAATTGATCTACAAGTTGAAAGAAGAAGTAGGACCTAAAGACCATTTGACTTATAAAGCTAGGTTGGTTGCGAAGGTTTTTACTCCAAGAAAGGGGATAGACTATAATGAGGTGCTCTCACCGATCATTAAATATAAAACTATCCGGTTAGTCTTAACCTTAGTTGTCCAGTATGATTGGGAGTTCGAGCAACTAGATGTTAAGATGACTTTTCTTCATGCGGAGTTGGATGAATTGATTTACATGTCTCAACTTCAAGGGTTCGAGGTGAGGGGAAAAACCGAAACTTGTGTGTCGGCTTAGAAAGTCCTAGTATGGTCTTAAGTAAAGTCCTAGGCAATGGTATAAAAGATTTTATGCTTATGTGCTTAAAATTGGTTTTAAAAGAAGTAAATTTGATGCATGTCTTTATTTTAATAACTTTAAAGTAGGCTGCGAAGTTTATTTATTGTTATATGTGGATGACATGTTGTTTGCTAGTTCTAGTAAAGTTAAAATCATAAAGATGAAAAACCTTTTAAAATCAGAATTGGACATGAAAGAATTAGGAGAGACAAGAAAAATTCTTGGCATGGTTATTAAAAAGGATATGGCTGATAATTGGATGACTATTAATCAAGAGTTTTATTTGGATAAAGTGATAACCAAATTTGGTATGAAATTTTCCAAGTCTGTCAATGTACCATTAGCTGTACACATGAATTTGTCATGTTCACAAATCACAATACCCTAAAACTAAAGAAGAATTGCATGAAATGAGTAATGTTCCCTATGATAATGTCATTGGGTCTGTGATGTATTCTATGATTACCACAAGATCGGACCTTGCATATGCAGTTAGTTTCTTGAGTAGGTTTATGTCAAACCCAGGTAAGCCTAATTGGACTGCACTTAAATGGCTGTTAAGATACCTAGCTGGAACTTTTAAAAGGGAATTGATAAGTTAGAGCTAAAAGGCTATGTAGATTCAGATTTTGCGGGGATAAAGATCAGAGCAAATCTACCACTTCATACTTCTTCACTTTAGGTGATAACTGTATCACTTTGAAAACACAGTTGCAATCTATAGTTGCAATCTCCAGCACATAAGCAAAATATGTTGCATTAACTGAACCTATAAAAGAATGCATGTGGCTGAAAGGCCTTCTATGTGAATTAAACTTCTTGAATGATAATTCTATGATTTATACTGATAGTCAAAGTTCATTGATGTTGTCTTAAAATCCTGTTTATTATGAACGTTCTAAGCATATTGAGGTGAAGTATCACTTCATTAGGGAGAAGTTAGCTTACGGTGATTTTATTTTGCTTAAAATTGCAACTGATGATAACCCTGCAGATGTTGGAACAAAAGTACTCGTGGTCGGTAAGTTCAACAAATGTTTATCAATATTGAGTATTGATAATGGTTAATTGTTGTGCAAGTACTGAGCTGGAGTGAGCGATGATGATAAAATAAGACCACACTAATAGATAGCACTTGTAACCGAGGAATTTGGCAGTGGATTATATGTTATCGAAGGTGAAGATTTGTGAGGTGGATCACTTTAATCCACTTGGCACATGAGTATTTGTCTTGAGCACTTTGAAATGATTGTGCTAGTTGATGTGTATTATGAACCATAGATTAAATCTAATGGTTAGATTTACTCTTGTGGTCAATTACACATACTAGTCATGTCTCTATCATATTACAATAATTGAATTTAAATTCTAAAGTATATTTGGCTCTATACAATACTTCTTCACTTTTTTCATTTGGACTTAGCATAACAAAAGAGAAAAAGCATAGAGAGGTAACCAAGTGGGATAAGTTCACATCTCCGGCGAAATTCTTGGTGGCTTCCGGCAGATTTATTTCTCTGTATATCCATTGTCATTCCCGTGGATGACGGTGCATGATCCAGTGCAGCAAAAATCTGAGCTTAACATCATATGACATTCCATTAGTAGTGTTGAAGAAGCTTTGCGTCTTTTTTGGTTCGATTTTACACTTTGAGAGTTTATATTTCCGCATTATAGTTGTAATAATCATTTATTCACTATATTTTAAACTCTTACGTTAAGGCAAAAAAGAAACATATGCATGTAAATACATGTGTATCAACATTTCCATGTAGATGCAGCAAGAATAGCTCTATCCTGCCACCCCAAAAGCAAGCAACCATGGTCTTGTGTCAGTCTATAACCATCGCATGAGTATAGTCCCAGCAATATTTTTGACTGAGTGATGGCATTTTCACTTAGTGGAACCCCTATAAATCCCTTTACTTCCATGTGTCTCCTCCATTTTACCAACCTTTCATGCCTGATTACCCTCTCAGACCCCTCGCATGCTACAATGTTCCTAATCTCCCGTGCAAATATGTATTGTTCCACCTTAGCCCTCTGTGCAGAATCTGGCGGAAATGTCGCATTCAATGAGTCAAAGACTGCTGAATAATAGTGCAATGCCTCGAGAAATCTTCCCAAGAAGAAAGGTCCATTGTGGCTTGCCTCTTCCTCAACCATGGTCACTATATTTGGAGATAAATCCCTGATCATGGTCAATAGATTCCCGAGACAGTTGCCTGGAACGCAATGGAGCCGGCTAACAGAGTTAACTGCAAGAGCCTCACCAACCTTTCGTTTGAACATTTGGGGTTTTAGGTCTTCAAGTTTTTCGCCAATGGGATGAAATTCAAATGGGACATGTAGAGAATGAGCTAGTTCAGCCAAAGATCTACCAGTTTCCCTCAGATCCTCCAGGGAGGGGCCCACACCGGTGATTTGGAGAAATGGGGCACCACCTGGCCTGGCAGCTAGGGCTTGCATGAAGGTGGGCCATTGATAGCCCTGAAGGATATCAAGATCAATGACATGGACACACACTTGGGATTCAAATGCCTCGAAAATGGCTTGATTAGCAGTGAAATGAGCAAATTTGATGTAGGGGCATGCTTGATAAAGAATTTGATAAATTTTGAGGATTTCTGGAGACTTGGGATCAGGAAAAGGATTAAAGGATGGGTTTTGATTGGTGGTGCTAGGCTTGTTTGTTAGGGTGGCAGCAAGTCTTGTGCTTAGGGCTTCAGTGAAGCAAGCAGCGACACGTTGTATGGAATCGCCAACGGGCGAGACTAGTCGATTGAGATGGTGGAGATACCTCCTGGCTAACATGTAATCCTCTTTGGATACTGCTTCTGCACAAGCAAGAAGCAAGTGCACCAAGTGTGGCCCACCATCCTGTTCCTATACATATGAACATATCAAAGTAAGTTACCAAATTTGATGGAGTCACTCGATGGGAGAGGGTTATTATTGTTCACATTATGGTCCATATTTTACCTGCTCAGATCCAATAGAAACAGGCACCATCAAGCTGCTGTTATGTATATTTTGTAGTTGGTTTTGCTGTGGCCGTTGATGTCTTCCTTGCAGTGGTGGAGCTTGTTGCTGCTGCCGCCATTGGAGGCTTCTTTGTTTCTGTTCTTGCTGCCATTCCTGGTGTAATTGTTGCGATAGTTGTGCAGGTACAGTTGATCCCGCATGATAAATTCCATTCTCTCGAGTTTCATTTGAACATTCTCGAATGGATGATGAGGCACTACTCACCACCGATCCGTAAAACCTAGCTGAATCTTGCAATGTAGAGGAATCCAACAATTCTTGCACCATTGTAAGAGTTTCAAAAGCACAACTAGATGAGCTTTCACCATCACCTCCAGTTATCTTCATCGGGGAGAAAACTACTAAATCATCATCCTCTATGCAATTATCGTCCAATGGAATACTCTCGAGAGCAGACAGAGAAAGGCTTTCCAGTGGCATATATTGAATATTTGGAGAATTGGAAACCCTGTGAAGTGGGCTCAGCCCCTTGCCTAATTTCTGGCCAAGAGGAGACAAGATGCGAGGTGGAGAGTAAACTAGAAGACTGGATGCCTGTGGTGACATGTTCCTCGCTGGTGAGAAAACCATGAAATCACCTTGTAACTTCTGTTCATCAGAGAAAATTGACTCCCACATTGAATAATCAGGTGATTGAATTTCAACATCTCCATCTACTTTAAATTTGAGTGCAGTAGCATGAACACTAAGGTTTGTCGTACTCTCATTTATTTTCTTCAATTCAGAAACGGACTGATTTGGTGAGGTGGGTTCTTGTTTTGTCCAAGAATTAATCTCAGCAGTCTTCTGATTTGACGTCTCACTTGTTATGCTCCCTGCAATCTCACTCTTGAGACTCCTCATGCTGCCACACATGGAATTAATCATTATATATACTCTGCCTGAACTTTAATTCAATTAATTCAGAAAGAAAATATATAGGGTTTTGATTATAATTTGGTCTAAGACCAAGAGTCTTCTAAGAATTGTGAAAGTTTTGAAGCTGAGATTAATTATGTTTCCATCACATTATATGTCAAAGAAGAGTTTTGTCTCTTGTACATGGAATAATAAGAAATTAGTGGAGGATCGAACTACATAGTGATTGTAGTGTACCTAGGCTAGTGAGCTATATTAATTGTTGGGTTTGCATTAAGATAATGAGTAGTGACGAAAAAAAAGTGGGCATGCATTGGTGTAATCTGTCTCATTTGGCATTGTTGGCACCGTCTATTCCTTGGAGTTGGCTACGTATTTAACCTCTTGTCTCTCCTCAATCGGCTTGTCATCTAGCTCTCTCCTACCTCACACAATAACACTTCCTTTATTGAATAAATTGAAAGGTTAATTTGCTTTTGTCCATTTAATTGTTTCACTTGACGGATTGTGAACAAGCATGTAAACTCGGAAATCTGTGGCATGATCTCATAGGTTATACATGGAAACAGAGAAGTATAATAAACGTCATAAATCTATTTGTTTTGGGTAAATTCGGATTATATGATGTGGACGAATTTGGCATTTTAGGAGACATCATATTCATCTCTCTTTTGGCTCTCTTTTCTACTATTCGACATTATCAACACAAAGTTATATATTGATGCGAAGCTTGCATGGATTTATGGTTCCGGACAATTGTCATTTCTAGGGTTGTCAATTTGGCTCATTGCTCGAGTTAGAGGTGTCAATTTGGTCCGGGCTGCTCATGGCTCGGCTGGGGAAAGCTTGAACTAGCCCAACTTGGGGCTCTGTTCTATTGAGCCCCACTTTGGGGCGTCACTCAGGCCCGAGATGTGTGACTCCTGACTCGTGTCACGGGCCATTTTCGGCCCATGACAAGTCGAGCCTTAAAAAAATTTAAAAAAAGGCTAGCTACTATATTTCGGCCCAAGCATTAAAAAAAAAAAAATTTAAAAAGGCCAAGTGTAGCTGCATGTGTTACAGTTACAGGTGTAGTTACAGGTATACAGGCAGGTTCATCGTGAGTCGGCTTAGCTTGATAAGACCTGAGCTGAAGGCTCGGGTTGGACCTATATTTTTGGCCAAGCCTCGGGTCGGGGCCAAGAAAAGACCGAAGCATTTTTTACTTGAGTCAAGCTTGAGTTTAGAGTTTCGGCTCTTGAGCCAGCTAGCTCGGTTAGTCGACATCCCTAGCTCGGACGGTCTGTGGCTCGGCTCAAGGAATGCCTGAGTCGGTTCTGCTTGACTCGGTCCCAGCTTTATTTTTGGGCATCGACTCGAGCTGGCCCGTATGGTTGGCCAAAATAGCCGGGGACACAGGCCATTTAAATGGGGCAAGCAGATGAAAAAAATAAAGCACTTGCATGCGTAACGCTTTCAGACAATTTTTTTTTTATATTTTTAGTATTGTTAATTTTTTTTTTCAAATTTCAAGATTAAAAAAATCAAGTCGGCTTGACTTTGTAAGTTCTAAGCCGAAACCTCGAGTAGAGCCTTTTTTTTTTCCTGCCGAACCAAAGCTTAGCTTGGCTCAAGCCAAAAAAGCTTGAGAAATTTTTTACCTGACCTTGACTTTTGGCTCATGAGTTGGCTCGACCTCCTCGAAAGTGCTTAAAGTCATGTGACGGCTAATTTTAACAAAGTTAATAGTGGAGTTGATAAAATCTATATCATCTTTAGCATAAGCTAGAACATTATTAAAGATTAAAAATTTAAAAATCTTATTTACTGTATTGGTGACATGATATGCTACGGACTATTTGGCATATTCATGTAGTTGGGAATGAATTAATCTTCTTAATAAAGTTAAGGAGGGCAAATATGACTCAAATTCAAAAACAAAAACATTAATAAAATAAAAATAGTCGAGACGGAACCATATGTGGCAAAGCGGAATTGGGAAATTTTGCCACCTTTTAAGATGGAACTTAAAGTTCCAATATGATATTATAATTTAACAAGTTCAAAAGAACAACTTAATCGAGATTGCAGTTCTTAAACGAGTAATTATCTTGTAGGGTTATAGATAAAATGAATAATTAATATACAAGAATTTGAATTACTTTTATCAAGTTCAATATTTTTCGTTGGTGGACTAGGTTTCTTCACAACCTATGAGTATCGGATACAAGAATCATTAAAAGACAAAGTTTAAAATAAGATTCATGCTACTTGTACAATCCCATTTATAATTTCGTTTACAACATGTGACTTGTCAAACATCATATCCATTCATTTAAGAACTGTTTTGAAAATTGACGACTGAAATCTTGACAACACATGAGTTGTAAAATTAGTTGTCAACAAATATAGTATAACTAGCTTTATTCTTGAAATATTGAGCTGAAGATGGCTATTAGAAGTTGCTTAAAAATCCAATTTTATCTTTTAACTCATTTTGACGTCACTTCTTTTTATTTATTTTCAGGCTATGTTCTTCACTCGTGTTAGATTTTTAATATTGTGTCAAAGTATTTCTAGCAATTTTGCTACTCATTTTTCGGATTGAAAATCATTAAATGACAAGTTTAAAATAACAAGCAAAAAATGACATAAATAGATTTATTAACTCGATTTTCTATTGTTTAATTTCCTTTCACCACCACTTTTCTCAGCTTATTTTCAAGCAATGTTCACTAGTTGAGATAGGTTCTTAGTACTGTTTTAAAGTAGGTTAATTACTTGAATCATCACTGAACTTTAAAAAGAACTCAGTTAATCACTGAACTTTGTAATTCGTTATCCCACACATCACTCACTCAACAGACGGTTAAAAGATTGACAAATTTGCTAACGCGGTTGATGAAATTGTATACGTGACAATCTATTTTCTACTTGGCATCCACATCTGTATCAATTTTAAAAATGAGTTATGGATGGTATAACGAACTATAAAGTTCAGTGATTAACGAGGTAATTTTTGAAGTACAGTGACCCGGTGAAAATTTTACGCAAAGTTCAGTGATGATTCAAGTAATAAACCCTATTTCCTTGTGTTCTTTAATCATATTTCTATTACTTTGTAGTTTTATTTTCATTTTTATCAATTTTTATGTTTTCTTAAATCTTTTTCTTTCTTTCTCATGTACTCTTACTCCACAATTTTATTCTCTTTAGCATCACCAAATCGCATTGATCATTTAATGGTATTCAACTTTGAAATTTATACACATCTTCAGCTAAAATTCCAATAGATTTTAGTTTTTATTTAGGTTTATCCTAGTGGAAAGATGATCAAAGCTGAAACAGTCCAGGGAACTGTCACACATCACTACCAGGCTCACCAAAAGGAGGTGAAACTAGCACAAACAACATTGCTTCAATCTTTTCTTGGATTCTGGGGCTCACACGCTAATAACTGAATTTGGTTTTGAGTCTAACATTTGGCTATAGTGAAATGCATTATTTTTTAAATATCCTTTTACATTGCAAATTTTAACGGTTTCCTTTAACCATGAATAAGAAAAAATAATAAAAAACTGAGCAAAATGTTTAGGGCAAAATTGGATGACAATTCAAAGCTCTTGGATTTCACAGAGAAACTAGAAGCAGCTTGTATTGGTGTAGTGAAGTCTAGAAAGATGAACAAGGATCTTGCCCTTATTACCCATGGATCCATTTGAGTGACCATTGCATCGTTTTCTCAATATATATCCTAAAGTCGTCCTAAACGTTTTCTGAACAAGTGAAAGAAAGTATCTCATTATGCTCATCATTATGTGCTTTTTTATAATGTTATAGGCTTGGCAGAGATAAGTATTTGAACACTGAAAAGCTCATTGATGCTATGGTAGCTAAGCTCAAAGCAAAACTTTCTTGTTAAGTTGATTATTTGAATCATCACTAAACTTTGCGTAAAGCTTCCATAGGATCATTGAACTTTAAAAATTATCCCTATCCAAGTTTTGCAGAGGGAGCAACCCCATTTTTCACCTTAAATTGGTCAAAATATGCGGAATTCTTACTTTTCGTGAAGGATTAGATCCAGTAAATGGGGCCTTAGAAGGAAGCCCTCCTGCGAGCAATGGTGGACGAAGCAGAAGCAAGCATATTAATCACTGAACTTTGTAATTCATTATCCCATCCATCACCCATTTTTTAATTTGCTATTGACGTGGATGCCAAGTGAGAAATAGATTGCTACGTACGCAATTTCGTCCGCCACGTCAGCAATTACATCAATTTTTTAACCGTCCATTGAATGAGCGATGAATGGGATAACGAATTATAATGTTTAGTGCTTAACATGGTAATTTTTAAAGTTCAGTGACCGGACAAAAACTTTACGTAAAATTTAGTAATGATTCAAGCAATTAAACCTTTTAAATTGTCATGCAAACTTTGCAACTCATCTTTAGCATTGAAAAATTGGTAAACGACAAGTTCAAAATAATAATAAAAAAAAGTGAACGAAAGAAAACTACTATAATTGGATTTAATAATATGATTTTTCCCCTTTTTTACATCAATTTGACTCTCTCGCTCATATTAAATATAAAATTAGGCAAAATTTTGAAACCCTAAAATAAGTATCTTGTTTTAAAATAGAGAGAAAAATAGAAAAAAAAATATATAAAGAGGTTAATAGACTTATGTGTATTTCATTGTGAATCAAAATCCTATATTTATAGAGAAGAATTAAGGCTGTAAGGGATACAATAGCCATAATAACTAGGGTTGTAAGGCTATAATGATCATTCACTAATAAACATATAACTTAGAACATCTTTATTTGAGCGACTCATTATGCAATATGTGCCTCGTTAAGACCTTATTTGATAAAAAAATTAGTGGAACAAAAATATCAAAAGATGGAAAAAGGAGTAAAAATAATTATAATGAAGTTGGAGTAATAAAATGTTGCTTTGTTAAAACATTATCAATAAAATTCAGCGAGACAAAATTTGAACGAAGAA